AGGTGAATAGGCGTAGAAGTGAAAACATTCAGCAGCAGAAAGAGAACCTTGAATCCCGTCGCAGCAACTGTGCTCAACCGTCCGAGATATTGCATCATATCACAGTTTGAGATATGATATTGCACAAATACCCATGGAGAAGAGGAGAGACTGTTCATTTGTTCTAATATAATGCTGGGCTTTGAATAACAGGATACCATGCAGAACTTTCCCCCTTTTCGAGTCATTGCTGCTGGTGTTGGTCTCTGCGCTTGAGTATTATTATTAACTCTTAGCGATATTGTGGTGTTTGGTTATGAGTCTGGTAGAACATTTAATTTGAAGAAATCCCAGTTCAATGACATCGCTCTCATTTTCTGAGGAGGCAACAAGCACCACCGCTTTTTTGGGGTTTGCTAGCACTTTTTTTGTACTGTATATGGGACTGCTGCTTTAGAAAGCTTGGAAATACTCATAGTATGAGGTCATATAAATCCTAAATCCCCACGTATCAAGATTTCAAGATCTCATCGGAAGTTGAAGTAAATATGCTAATTTTGTAGGATTACAGCTCTCGAGTGATTTCGATTGAGTCAGCCCCTAGATATAAATAGTACGATATGTATTCCAGTAGATAAAATACCGCACGCATGGGAAAAGTACAATCAAGCCTCATAGCGATATTACCTTGCTCCACTTACAACCACTCTCCATATGGCAAACCGATATTGATACAGCGATGAGATCCCGAGTTGGCTGATATTTTCGACTTATAGCCCATTTGCGCTCAATAGAGGTACCTCGAGCCTTTCATTGCATATCACTCAATAGCCTGATTGGAAATTGCCGACATGGTGCAGATTATAAGCTGGATCTGACGTGTGTCAGTTCTCCCATCGTGTAGGCTCAAAATAGGAAGAAATACCTCAAGCGCAATCTCCCATTTCCTTGAGATGGCACCGAAAATAGCGACTCCTAGCAAGAGAAGACCCACATTTGATGAATGAGGTAAGATAAAATGCAACTTTCTCCGGCCTTGCGTGGCTCTCTTTACTAACCACAGGTACCATGCCATTTCACAGAGATGATCCAAGAAAAGTAGGAATGGAGTGATGAATTGAATCTCATCTGGCATGAATATCCCAATGAATGTAGCTGTTATCTTCAAGACCGTTGATGTCAGAGCATAGATTCTGGATACGACACGGGCCGATCGATTTATGAAAGGACTGTTGAGCTGCTGAAAACCGATGCGGAGAAACTAGGCCAGTATTAGCATGGAATTGACTTTCTTCAAGCTATGACGAAAAATTTGCATAGAAGGAATTGTTGAAAGAATTCCAAGAAGAATTTGAGTCCATATTTATTTCTTCTCGCTCCAACAAAGCCCTGCCAGTACAGCGGACATGAGAATGGATAAGACGCATAGCGCCAAGTCCATCTTATGAAATGGCCAATCATCTTCGAACACCCACAATAGAAGGGACCTAGCAATCAAAGCGAATAGAAGCATGGTGATTAGCAGTGCTTGGAAGTTAAGTTCGGAAGCCATGACAAAAGAAATGGAGATAGATGTGTCGCGGTGAGAAGGGAGCGCCGATGGCGAAATTCAGATTATTGAATAAAGCGACCGTAATTGAACGACAGAAGAGCCCGATAATATCCCAGGAAAAGGAGACAAATTGTCATTCTTGTTCTGTAGCACAAATATCTTACCATCAGCTTTTAGCCTGCACAAGGCAGCTACTAACCTGTCTGATAATGTTAGACCTGCCAGGAGCTGCAGCTTTGGCTGGTCGGTTGCCATGCGAAAAGTCTCTAGATGTCGCTCACTTCGATCAATGGGCTCAAGCCGCCCTGTGCTTTGCTATCATGCAAGGAAAAGTGTCAACCGTCCGAAAGCTACTTTGTCGACATGATATTGATATCAATGGTCGGAGTCCGAAAGCCCAGCCTCCAATCATGATAGCTCTCGAACATCAACAATACGAGATCTTGAGAATCCTTCGGAAAGACCCCCAACTCAATATCGACATTCAAGATGACCGAAGATACACCGCACTTCATCTGGCTGCGATATATGACGACCTCATTGCAGTGCAAATACTCTTGGATCACAAACACATTGACATCAACCATCTCGACTCCGCCGGAAATAGCGCACTTCTTCTGGCTACCATGTCATATGACGGCCTGGACCCCACGAGGAACGAGATCATAGATCTTCTACTTCTAAGTCGAAAGACTTTGGTGAATCAACGAGACCAGAGAGGCCGCTCGGTACTATGGCATGCAGCAAATACTGGCAACAGAAGACTGATCCTTCAACTGGCGCAGCAGCCGGATCTGGAGCCCGGGAATTTCGACGATAATGGCGTGTCTCCCCTGGGCCAAGCTAGGATAAGAGGAGACATCGAGATATGTGCGCTTTTGCGGGGCCTTACTGCATGTGCTGGTTACTGAGAGGCGTCTGAGTACGACATGGGATAGTTCGACAACCAGAAACGTCAAGTAACATAATAAAAATCTGGGCCGTTAAGGCCAGCATTAAAAGATTCTAGAACTGCTTCGTTTCAAGTATGTACTTGAGGAAACTTTGCAGAGGTCGTAGCATGGGCCCGATGCAGGAAGATAGCTGCACTGTTGACAATAAAGTCCCGAAAGATCAGGAGGAAGCATTAAATCAATCGGGAGCGAGAAATGCCCTCGGTGACCCAAAAGCTATTTTCGATAAATCTGATCCATCCGCTACGGATGCGCTATGCAATACTCGCAGCTGAGCAGACTCCGACTGTGGAGAACGCACGCAGACCTTCCTCGTGGCTATTGGAAGAATCCATCTCGGCGTAGTATTGGGCCCTGTAACTATTGGTCCTACCAAGAATGCCGACTAGGTACTCACTCCTGGTATGAGCTCAAACAGCAGTCTAGAGTGGTCTAGCCCATGTTCAGAGTCAATAGAGGCCAATCACATCGCACAGGGAGCCTTTTCTGTCCAATGGAACGATATTGGTGGGGCGCTTGAACGCGTTTATGTTTCAAGGGATAATCTGTTTTAGAAATCCTGTTGCAAATGGTGGTTTCTTAACACTGAAAAGCCCCGAAGGTTATCCTCACGAATGCGCCAAATCTTATCTGCAACGATGAAACGGGGGTTACTATGGATTGCAACCTACAGGCGAGTCAGGAGAAGCTCAAAAGGGTTAAACTTGCGGGCCGGTGTTCGGGACGGTGTGGCCCCAGACTAAGTTCCCAGGCAGAACACCCTACCAGCCAGAGAATCGCGCCACTTCTGGTTGTCCAACGGCCTGTGCACGCCGATCCATCGAATGAGGCGCTAACACACCGAACCACCACCTGTGTGCACGATAGCCCCCAATTTTCCCGCATTAGTGGCCCATCGGTACCGTGGAAGGTATGCTCGAGCCTCGGAGGGGGACCTCCGCGACTGCCGCCTTTCATCAGGGGCTTGAGCTTTATTGTGATGTGATCAATTCTCTGACGAGCCGAAATGGCCTGGGAGTGCAATACTTCATCGAGCCCTTTCTCGCGCGCTAGCTTAACCGCTCTACTTTCCAGAGGTCATCATGTGTCGTGAAAGATGTCTGAAAGATCTTGACAAGTGCTTGCCTCCTCCATCAGCTGTCCCAATTCTTGTTTGGCGAACTTGACATTCTTGTACAGTCTAAGAAGGCTGGAAGTAAATTCTTCTAGCTGATTGTAGATAGCGATCGCCGAGGCAGCAGTTTTCATATTTTCCTCTGTTCATATACTTAATGAATGTTCCCCTACATTCACTGAAGTGACTCTAGAAGGTAAATGAGGCTTTGAAAGCGTGATTTCACAAAAGGCTAGCGTGGGGCATCCAATAAGACCAGATCGCAAATGAAGTTCGAGCCCGTGCACTTTGTATATTGGAATCATAGCAGGGAGAGATGTCATCAGTGAGTTCGCCAAGATAATTATTTTACTTCTTCTCCGCAGCACATGCATGCAAAGATGCCCAATTCCTAGCTAAGGCGCTCTGGGCAGCATTTACAATTTGGGGATGAGGCTCTTACGCCTAGATCTGCTTGTGAGATTACCTATCAGTCAATGAAATCATTCTGATGTGCTGCACGCTTGGGCCAACAAATGTATGCACTGTGAGATGTCCGTGTGCGCAAGCAAAGATGATGGACATGTTCAGCCAATTGGCTCTTTCAACGTAGCCGCCCTACCCGTTCCGATGTGACCTCTCGCATGTTCTGGGCGGCTGCAATCGAGACTATCTAAAAATCCACGAACACAGAAACATAATACCTGATCAAGAATCTCAGTCTTTAAGAAATGGGCTGGGAAAATTCCAATGTACGAAGAAGTAATGACCTAACTCAGGCCCCATATAGAAGCTTTGTCGCTTCTTTCCTGTCACGCGTCAAGATAAGATGACAACAGAGACTGGCAAGGAAAGGTATGATTGATTTCATGAACCATGGCTCGCGCCTCTGATCCCTGTATCTTCCCCGCCTCTTTCTCGACAGACAAAGGCTCGGCTTGGTTGGCGTTGCGAGGCTGTCCGCCTTTCAGGCAAATCTTGAAACTGCCTGAGCGAGGCTGGACACACTGCCTGTAGCATAGAGCAATTATCGTGTGTCATGACTGGACAATAATTACCAAACTCATGTCGCATGTAGTCGCGCAGACAGGGGCACCCAGGATGGCTAATGCTCCCTGCAATGAAATCAACAAAGGGGTCACAATGCGCCGCACCGTCAAGGCAAACTACACTAAAATGAAATTCTGTGTACTGTAACCTTTTGCAACTCAATTATTTTAGCTGCATCAGGGTTTCCAAAGCGACAAGTTTCATGAGTCGTGAATCCAGTCAGTCTGTGGGGAACATCTTAGTGTAAGCCTATGGAGCCTATAAGACGAAAGCTCAGCGAGAACATAAATAACCAGCTTGCCGTCCTCCACATTCTGATATAATATTCCCTGTTTACTTATTTTTCTGCTGTCTTTTTTTTTGTGCACGCACAATGCCGGAATCACATCCACAGAAGCTCAACAATTTTCTGGAGCACTGGAGGCAGCTCCAGACGGCTGTCTTTGAGATGGGTCCTCATGCAAGAATGATCAATCAAGTTTCAGATGTATTGGAAGAAAATTCAAACTACAAAGCAGAGCTTCAAGACGCAAATGAAGAGTTAAAGAAATTAAGAAAAGAGGAGAAACGGCTCAACCTTGTCATGAAGGGGATGTCAAAGCAATTTGGAGCGGAACTCGTTGATTTCAAAGAGATGCATAAATCCAGGCTCCATCAGATGAACACAGTCTTAGAGGAAGCCAAAGAAGAAGTGACTACCAGTCGTTCAAAGTTCAATGTATCAGATCAGAAATGTGCATCGTTGGAAAAGGACCTGGAATCACAGAGGCGGCTATTTTCTGCAAAGACAGCCGAGCATGAGAGACTCATATCAAGTCTTGGTCTTATGGAATTGAGTGGCCATTTGTAAGTCAAAAGAATTTTCTCAGGCCGCATAGCTCACCAATTTTGAAGCCCAGACAAACTAGATCAGCTTGCGATGAGGATCTACTCTGTTGCAGAAGCAACGATCTTGGAACATTCCAATCACCATTTTGTAGAGGAAAATCAGGTAAATTGCCTCCCTCCACTGGTTGGCAAATGGCCTGTTGACGTGGAGCCAGGACAAACTTTTCAGACAGCTAGTTAACTCGGACTTCATAAACTCCGAGAGACCCATCCCTATCTCAGGTAGCATAGCATCTCGGTATCTCCGTATTGCGACCATGCAGGCCATTATTGCAGACGAAATATCTACGAGTGTCTTTTTGTCGGTGCCAAGCTATACCAAATGGTTCAAGCCAATGTCACCGAGGCTTAATTGGGACAAATTGGCGGCAGATCAACCTCTTCAAGAAGCTGCCCTGAGATCGGTGTCTTCTATGATCTATCTCCAAGACGAACAAGAAATTGAGGCAGCACAGATTACCAGCATCTGCGATCGTATTTCTCGAAAATGCCGACCGCTACTCGCAGATATCAAAACTTTCGACGAAAAGCTACGGTTCTTACTAGAAGAGGCATCTGACATATGGAGAGAAGCCCAAAGAAGCACCCGCAGAATCGGCGTACATACGGATGCTAATGTCTGCGCGGAATTCCCTGCCTTCGATATCGATGAGGCGATTTCGATTCCTGGTGAAGTCGACACCGGCAGATTGGAAAGATCGATTATTGTCTTCCCCGGCATCTCAGTTGTCGCCACTTCAGAGATTATTCACCATGGATATGCCCTACCCACTTCCAATCCTTTGTACCAGTCAGGGGCTGTTGAGGCTGAATGCCAAGTTGAAAGAGCAAGAAGAAGAGGTTAAGATGGATCCAGCGTGAAGGCATCTCTTCTTTCCAGAGAAAGGAGACTGCATGTTTGATAGATGTCGGGGCCTGTAATCCTCGACAAGATGTTTCCCAATAGTGTGTCTTTTTCTTGTCTAAATAAGAATCTTCTCGTATTTTCGGAAAGAACTCGCTTATATAGTGCGCCCTCGGATCACAATCAACTTGAATTTTCCACAGGTCTTCCCTGAGAGTTCACTCTACGAGTAATTCTGGAGTGTTCGACCATCTCGGCTAAGGTTGGTGAAACCGATTTCTGGAGTCAGTTGGGCATGTCGACTGAACTCAGCAATCGGCAGTATCTTGGGATAAGGCAGTGCAATGACCGGTCGCAGCGCGTCGCGTAGGACACATGTGACACACCCACACTGAAAGCATAATAAGCGGTCAAGTTGAAAGTCAGGGAACATGCCAATAACACCTGGTGGGCAAAATTCATTATCCACTTGTGGGAACATGAATGGGAAATTGTGAGCGCCGAGAGCTTCGCGAGACTGCGTCTACTGGCGAGTTTGTGTCATCGAGGAGGGTGCATTTGATCGACTCACGGCTGCAGGGAAACAGCCATCTTCATATCAGCGATTTGGCAACATGGTCAGTTAATCGCCCATATACTTCGCTGACGAGAACAACCTTGGCATCTTATTTCATGAAGCAGGCCATAGTGGCAGCTTTGAGCTGCCGTCTGCATTAGAACACAAGGAGGTCAATTTGCTGTTGAAAACACCCGATCTAGCACCGGCTATCAGCAGCTGACGCAAGATAGTCGTTCGCCAATTACCTTGCTCGCGGCCTAGCGGAACCCCCCCTCGGCTGCCAGCCACTATACACTATGCCGATCAGACTCGTGGGAACGACCAAATCAGGGCTGTGTCTCACTGCTTCTCCACATCAGCATGATTCCTGATGACTGAGATGGTACAGACTTGCCGTCAGTAGTTTGGTATCAGCGAAAGCCAACTAGAGATGTAGCGGACTCAGCTCGATTACACATGGATCAGGGCCCAGGGTCAGTCCGTGTCGCTGTAAATGTATGTTGACGCTATATGCTATGCATAGCTGTTTCGTCTTTGCTTTTTGTGTAAGAGGTCAATCTTCAAACGTGTCAGGACAAAGTTCCACTGAAGGAGGTGTTCATGGTATTTGGTTTGGGGTGAAGGAGTAGCTGACCTGAAAGCGACTGCTCTCATGGGGGGAGATATGGGATAGATCCAGTGCTGCGACCTGGCTTGTTGCTTGCTGAGCAATCAGCGCTTGGCAAAGCCGGCCCTCAGCCCGTGGCCTAAAGCTCGATTCATTGCTGGTAGGTTTTACACTCGGAGAAAAGAAACCATGGCTTTTGTTGGTTGCCATCGATGCTAGACTCTTTTCCGTGTCGTCGGATGGTCGGATGCTGCGATAAATCAGTTGGCCTAGCATGGACTGCAAAATGCCCGTCGAAATAGGGAAGATTCCCTGATGCACTGAGAATTAACCTTTGGCCGGATAGGGTGAGCCTGGAGGAGGTGATAGCATGTTGGACCTTTACCATGTGGCTAACCGGAGGATATCGACCCTTCCGCATTGGGCCTGCTAAACGCGCCAGGCGAAGTGGCCGTGTCCACCACGTCTTCAGAAACAAAAAAGATGCAAGCATAGTAAGATTCAGTGGCTTGGCCTTTTAGGCTGTTGAAGCTGGGTTGGTTTCGAAGACGAGAGGGAACATAGCTCTGTCAGGTCGAGGGTAAAATTGAAGCTCGCCCTATGATGAAAAAGAATCATCAGCGATCTGTGTCGAAGGAAAGAGAGCTAGGAACGGATAGCAATCGTACGGAGATTGAAATGCAGTACCGGGCGTTGAGAATGGGCCGGGGGCAAAGCACAATCGTGACTTACAAGACATTGAGTGACTCGCGATAGAAAGTTTGTCATCCTATATAGATGGTCGTCAGCACATGATATCTGCCTTGAAAAATGCTGCAAAATTTGAAACTTACACTCTCAGATACTGCTGTCCACTGCAGGAAACTTTATAAAGGATGGCACCTAATTATCTTCAATCATGGGAAGGTAGCTTATGAAGGCAATTTGTAACTGACATTGCTCGCAGTTTGGACCACTCCAAGTCCTGAATGGTTCGTTCAATTGGTTCTCCGAGGATTAGCGGAAACGGGGCTGGTATTGAGCATCTTCCGACTTAGCATGATTCTAAATGACTGGGAAACAACACTCACTTGCTGTCTGAAGATTTCGTTATTGAGAAAGGCTAGGCCATTGCGATAAAAAAAAGGTCAGCTTATTTCAATGCATGATTTGGAGGTCAATCCATACCAAAGAGTAGCCGCGAAGACGAATGTCGATCGACATTCTTTGATCCAAAATCATAAAGGAATGCTTATGAAGGACTCTTCAGCGGGCGAAGGATCGGGTATTTATAATTATCCAGCCAGGCATTCGATCTGCGTCAATGAGATCACCATTGTGAATTGTGAGGGTTCAAACACAAACTACTCTTAAATTGCAGCCCGTTCAACATTTGGTTATTCATCTGACACACATCCGGAGACATCGCATTTTTCCTGGCGACTCGATATATGTAATTCCTTTTATCACTGTTGGCACCGTTTCAACAGTGGTGAGCATGCCGCAGAAAGCATCGATGATCCGTTTCAACATTCACCACCATGGGCTTGTACGTTATTGCGATAGGTGAGGCGGCAACAGATCACGCCATTTCATTTCACCCACTAATGATGAGCACGATACCTTACCCAATGAACACCTCATCAAAGACAGGCAAACACCATGCCATATTGCGACCCTAGATCACTACCATCCAAACGGCATGTTTCTCAGTACCTAACTCGTATATCGGAGAAAAGAAAGCACACCTACCCAATATCAAGTAGTTACAAGCTATAGTACGGCGCGGGACTGATTCACACAGCCCCATCTCACAACAGAGTCCCTTGTATAGTGGGTCAGATATTAGGTCGATTACGTTTTCGTAGAACAAACCTCTGCGATCAGCCGCGTCTTTGCAAAGGCATTATCCACGTCAATCTCCTGGGAGCGAAGCGGATGCCGGTGGGTACTACTACTCCGAATATAAGCCAATTAGTGCCATCAATGGCCCACATGCTCACAAGTCGCCTTGATTATTGGTTGATAATTGGCCTTGGCTCCCAGGAGTCTGTGGGCTGTAGAAATTGATGCGATCATTGGATACCACAAATAGAGCGGAGGAATAATGAGCCAATAGGTGCCATGATTAATGTAAACCATCCGCCAAGCCTCCGTAGAAATGATTGGCCCAAATCTGGCTATGACCTCCTGGCGAGCTGGTGCGATTGGTTGCTACCGCGGTCCATGTTCGGGCCGGCGGGGCCAGTGGCCTGGCTTCGGTTTGCATTTGCAGAGCTCGCACTTCCTCGTGGAGCTTTTCATTCTGTTCTTGGTTGTGTTTCACTTCTAGTAATAGCTCGGCCCTAGTGGCTTCGATGAGTGTGATTTGACGGTGGACAATAACCTTGAGATTGTCGATCAGCTTCCGCACTTAGTTTGAATATCCATCAAAGTTATATCTGAATCTGAATTGTTAGCACATGACATCCTCTCTATTCCGGGCACATTAGAATGGAGACATGGGTACGCTATGGACATTATTGTATCGCCACTGTCCAATGTTAGCAGGTGTAGTGGCAACCCCTGGCTCCCAGTAGCACATAGCCAAACTTGACCAATCGTCTCGATCGAGGCTATGCGGCATATGTGGGCCATTGTTGGCACCAATTGGTCCATCATCTCCTTAGGATTGGCAAGATTGCCAACCGTCATAGAGCGCGGCGTTGATAACTTGGCAGTAGTCAGGGCCAACTATTGCCAGGGAATTGACCTGTCCGCCTCATTTCTTGAGCGAAAATGCTCTTGAGCCACATTAATGTGATACTCAAATAGGTATCGAATCGAAACACGCATCGCAATGTGACGCCTTGACCCTGGCAACTCATCTCGGGGCAGAAATCAGCACGGAGAATGTTGGACCATGTTAGCGTTTCAGGCGCGTGCATGATGTTTGGCTTAAATGCAAAACAATGGTGGGGTTTCTGAACGAATCCAAAAAAATTAAAATTGGCAAATAGACGTGAAATGCTGTCACCCACCATACTACTTACTGCCTGGCGTGTGGCTTATGTGCGGCAGATAGTCGGGTGGCTGCCGCCCGGGTGAGAAGTGGGTGAGCGCCGCTTTAAGGTCGCGCGACCAGGGTGAGATGGGGTGAGTGCGCAATAGACAGGGTGAGAAGATGGGTGAGAGCGGGTGAGAATCACCCTCCGTCGCGCGACCACTGCACTGACCCTCTCAGCTGAACTACAGTAGAACATGATTGGGTCTCCCCCATCCATCTGAAGCGCCCGGTCCCTTGGCATGACTACACAGCCACTTAACGTATAGCGAGAGGGCCAAAAAGGAGATCCCATTTGTTTTGTTGAGAGCTGAACTGACCCTTCGGATCCGGAGAATAGATTCTACCGTCAGCACTACCTCAGTAAGCACTACCTCAGAGGGCGCAGCGAAGGAGGGTACAGACACGAGTGGTTCGTTCAACTGCAATGATCAGAATTGAGTCGCTCCTCCGGTAAGCGAACGCATCATCTCCTTTGCAAGAGCATAGGCTGGGGAATGTGCCATTTATTTCTTCAAAAAGCCCCGATTTTCTTCTGGAAACCACTGAATCACGACGTAACACAATGCCGTGATCTATTCAAGAACAACAGTCACTATCTTCCCTTAATGATTGAGGGATAGCGTTTGCAACGCACCGGGCGCATGGACAAGACGGCTCCCGCCAATAGCATTTTTTCTGTTGCCGCTTCCATTGTCACGTCCATTATGTGGCTAACTCTTCCCGGTGGTGACCAACTTTCATTTTCCTGCTCTCCAGAATCCTCCGTTTCCCCCTTTTCATAGCGACACACGTTTTCTCTGTGACTCGGGTCTCTGTTATAGCAGAAAAAAATTGACATTCTTGAATGCCCTCGGCAGGCAACCCAAATACAGTTCTCTTTTCTGTCGATTTGAAGGCATGTCGGACCCTGCAGGCTACACAGTGGGCTGGATCTGCGCTTTGCGCGTGGAATATATTGCGGCACAGGAACTTCTCGATGAGGAGCACGAAAGCCCCAGCTTTGTGTCGCCAAACGATGCCAACGACTATACGTTAGGCAAGATAGGCGAACATCAGGTTGTCATCGCCGTCATGCCCGATGGGGAATATGGAACTGCCTCCGCCGCCAATGTAGCGACAAACATGCTGAACAGTTTTCACAACATCAGGATCGGCTTGATGGTCGGTATCGGCGGAGGTGTGCCGACCCAAAACCATGATATTCGTTTAGGCGATGTTGTGGTCAGTGCTCCTCGTAATGGCGTAGGTGGGGTATTCCAATACGACTTTGGCAAGTCGATCCAAGGCCAGAGTTTTCAGCATACGCGATTCTTGAACCAGCCACCGACTACGCTTCGCACTGCGATAACGGGGTTACAGACACAGTACAAGAGAAAGGGGCATCAACTACAGGGAGCTATCGATAGTATTCTCGACAACAACTCGAGACTCCGCCGTGAGTACCAAAGACCACTACCTAATACGGATAGGTTATTCAGGGCTACAGTGATACATGATCAAGGATGTTGTGATTCATCAGGTGCTAATAACCCATCAAATTTGGTACTACGAAGTGAACGGGCTAAGGAGGAAGATAATCCTGCAATTCACTATGGCCTGATTGCTTCCGGTAATCAATTGATGAAAGATGCGTTAATGCGAGATAAACTTGCTGCGGAGAGAGACGTTCTCTGTTTTGAGATGGAAGCAGGCGGGCTGATGAACACCTTCCCGTGTCTAGTTATCCGGGGAATATGCGACTACTCAGATTCACATAAGAACAAAGAGTGGCAGGGTTATGCAGCGATGGTGGCGGCTGCATACGCAAAAGACCTTCTACAGAGGATCCCTCTTAGCCGAATCGAGGCCGAGGATAAGATCAATGTCCTTATCTCTGGTTAGTCTTGTATAGCCCTAGAGCTAGTATATCAATTTAAACTGATTTATGACCTTTTCAGAAAGGCAAGAGGTCACCAATCAACAGTTAGATCGACTAAACAGCGAACAAGAACGGTATCATATCGAACAGAAGGACAGAGCCTTAACAGATCAGCAAGATCGTTGTCTCCAAATGTTCAAGATCTTAAGCTACGAGGAGCAGAAGAACCTTAATCCGAGAAAGGCGGAAGGAACCTGTCTATGGGCTATACAGAGCGCCGAATTTATTCGCTGGTCGGAGAGCAGCTGCAACGACCTTCTATGGGTATCTGCTGACCCAGGTTGCGGAAAGTCTGTACTAGCCAGAGCCATTGTCGATAACTACTTGGAGGGTCCTACGCGAACAGTGACAATCTGTTACTTTTTCTTCAAAGACAGTAAAAAAAAAAACTGTCTTGCTACGGCAATATGCTCGATTCTTCACCAGCTATTCAGTCAGCGGCCCAAGCTATTGCAATATGCCATTCCATCCTGGAAAAAGAATAGGGAGAGGCTCTGCGAAGAAATTGACGAGCTCTGGCGTATATTCAGAACGGCCGTATTAGCTGACACATCGTACAAGACAATTTGTGTATTCGATGCGCTTGATGAATGTCAGCAGGTTCATCAACGTCGATTGATTGAAAAGATCCATTCATTTCAATGTCAGCCGTCTTCATCAATACAAGGCGCTTGTTTGAAATTCTTAGTCACCAGTCGCTCATACGACGGTATCCAGAATAGTCCCAAGGCGATAACAAACCCCTTCCAATACTTAAGCCTGAAGGGAGAGGACTACAGCGACCAAATTCACAAGGAGATAGATACTGTTGTGAAAATGAAAGTCAAAGAGCTGGCCAGGGATGAACGACTTCCACACAATGTGACCCGTCAGCTCGAGCAACAGCTTCTTCAAATGGAGCATCGCACTTATTTATGGCTACATCTCAGCCATGGGTGAGATTCGATCTACATTCGAGGAAAGCCTTCGACCTTCTGAGGAATTGGTCCGATCAATCCGAATGATACCCGCTTCAGTAAATGAGGCATACGAAAGAATCTTAAATCGCGTCCCTCCCAGCCAGGTTAGCAATATAAGGACGATCCTACAAATTGTTGTTGCGGCGAACCGCCCTCTGACAATGGTGGAACTGGCCAGGGCAGTGGACATCGCCATTCCTCCTCAACATACAGCCGATAAGCTCGATCCAAACCTCTTGAAGAAAAAGCTCCGTCGTTATTGCGGCTTGTTCATCTTCAGCCAATCAAAAATCTATCTCATTCACCAAACAGCCAAAGAATTCCTCGAATCAAAGGAGAGTTGGCGACAATCAGTGAATTTTCAAGATGCACATCTCTCTCTTGCAAAAATTTGCATGACCTACCTTCACGAGATTATGTTTCAGGAGAATGAAGTTCACTTCTTGCAGAAGAGAGGAGACAGAAGCAGGAGCGATGGACTGTTGATATACTCAGCAACTCATTGGATTTCTCACTTAATCAGTGGATCAACAGCAGGGACGGAGTTGCTCCAAATGGCCGGGAACCTTTGCGGCGAGACTAGAGCATCCGTGTGGACTCAATTCGTCGAACCGCCGTTTTGGTATTATCGTTTTGACAACGAGCCATTGCCATTTTTCTGGGCGGCAAGATGGGGATTGGTAGATGTTGCCGACATCCTGTTGCAGGATCCTGAAATCCAAGTCACTGCCGACATCATCGAAAAGGCCGTTGCACATACTTCGGGCAACGACACAGTGATACGTCTTCTCTTTGATCGAAGAGTGAACGAAATAAGTATTACCGATGAGGTTCTCCAAACAGCCGCAGCAAACAGGAGTGGTGGATTTGTCATAATGAAGCTTCTTTTAGATCGAAGAGGCGGTGACATCACGGTCACAGACAAAGTCATGCAGAAAGCAGCAGCAAATAGTTCAAGCGGACTTTCCATCATGAGACTCCTATTGAATCGGAAGGGGCCTGAAATCAAAGTCACAAGTACGGTCATGGAAAAAGCTGCAAATAATTGGAGTCAGGGGGCGAATATGATAAAATACCTTCTTGATCAGAGAGGCCGTGATTTCAGGATTACGCTGAGAGTCATAAGGGCCGCGTTGAAAAATCCTGCACAGAATGAAGAGATCATGAAGATATTATGTTCAAGATGCTCAACTGGGAGAGTCATACAATTTTTGCGATATCAGCAGCGAAAACGTGACATCAGAAAGAGAGATGGGTACATGAAAAGTCGCAGACGCCACCGAAGAAGAAAACTGGGAGATTGAGAAGCTGAAAACAGAAGTCTGATGTTATCAGCCTATAATTAGAATCAGATTTGATACCCCATATTCCAGCAGACCGGGTTGGTCCTTATTAATAATCAGACAAAATTTATGTATGGTAAACGTAAGCACTTCAAGTTGCTCTTTACGAAAGGCCACCAGTATGACAGCTGCTGGAAGATTGTAAGACTTATGTGTAACCTGACGCGGGGTTTTCGTGTGATCATTGAGGGTCTCGTGTGGTATACCCATTATGTATCGGGAATATAATTATATTTTATTCAATTTTCCGCCCGCGCACTGTGTCGCAGCTACCTAGCGGACCCCTGTGATGGGTCCTTCAAGTCAAGGATCTGCACAATTCTCAATAGCTTCGTAGTTCGAGTGCCTGGATTACAGACTGCATCCTTGCCTGAACGAAAGCAATTTACCTACCATGTTAGCCTCTATGTCGATAACAATGCAGTGTCCTATCGCTATTACTATGGAAAAATCGGCCTCGGTTCGTAATTTCTGTCCAGCTTTGAAATTGAAACCCGCGCTCTGAAATGCAGTTTCACCGAACAGACAGAATCCTTCTATGAATAGTAAGTTATCTAATACTTGTTCTCTTGTTTCCAGTTCCCAATGCACTGGAAATATAAATCTATTAGATTCGCCTATGCGCTTTTGCCCTGACCTCTTGTATATATATGTCGGGACGATCTATTTCGCAACTGACGATATCACAGTAAACATTGTTTTAAGCAATAACTTTATTTAGCATTCGGTGCATACTGCTGGCAAATAGCCAAGTGTCTTGGTACCATTTTTTGAATCCTACCTGAATGCGATCATACTGCAGGAGCAGAAATCTTGTCCCCCTGAGCAGTATATCCAACTCTCTGCCGGGTCTTTAAATAATTAAATGACGATAGAGAGATAATTGAAATTTCTAGAAACCGAACACTAAACGTGGTACGGTGATAAATCTCGCACACTGTTCGTTCGCAATTGTAACAGGATACTTTCAAGGACAACATTCTTAATTGAGAAATTGAATGTCAGAGGTGGTCCATCATAACAAGAATCCGGCGTTGCCATGCATGTAGATCATTGCTGTGGTGAGCACTTCCACCTCGAATGCAATGACCAGCTGTGCATCCCTCACAAAGCTGATGATTGCGTGGGCCTCAGCTTACATTGGAGACTGGTGGTCTCACCACTGAAAATCCATTCCATTGCTTTATCCAATAAGAGACTCTTTCCGCATACGGCTAGTCTCAGGGTTGGCTTAGCGAGGTTATCATAACGTTGATGGTATACTCTCGCATTATATATTTGTCCTGGGTAAAGGCGAATGGTGATAGCAATCATCTTACTTGACCAACCGTTCGCTTTGCACGCTTGGATTCGGCAGGTAAATCAACCCATGATGTTGGTATCCCACGTTTTGATGCATTCAGTGCGTCATCAACTTTGTGGAACTCTTCCCTGAAAGAAAGATGGAGGGAAAGATGGAGGGAAAGATGGAGGGAAAGATGGAGGGAAAGATGGAGGGAAAGATGGAGATACGATATCTGAGTGGCCCGAGACGCTAAACTGCCCCACTTTTGTCCTGGACGTTGTCAGAGAGTCGAAAGCCATTGGCTCTACGCGCTGATTATTGGATCCACAATGAACATCAGCTAGTGTTGAGAGCTGTAAAACACGCATTACACCGCAAAGATCTTACGGATTCATACAGATTTGCAGATTATAAAAGGCGAGAAGTTTCCTCCGTGATCAATAGGAGGTCCTACACTGAATCTCAGCCTGAATCATCAAAGCTGCTAAGTCAAATCCTCACTCAATATGTCCGTTGGTGAATACTCTGTCGAACATTTTCATACCCTTCCCTCCCTTGAGGTTGCACGTGCCAACTTTGCGAAGTTAAACGGCGATGAACTTGTCAAAAATGTCTTCAAAGAGTTCTTCATTGAGCAAGGCATGGATCGTACGTTTGGTCTGGCCATGCTTCATCGTCATTTTGATCTAGAACCAGACGAAATGCTTGTTGATTATGAAGGTACATCTATCCCTTGGAACGCGGCCCATGTCTCCGGAATGAACTCCCCTGAGCCCGCCATCTGGGCAATCTCGTCAGATGGCGACTTCAAACCCACTGAGTTTTATTTCTCAGCGGATAGAAGCCTGGCTATGGGAGAAGAAGAGCTACGTTTCATGAAGCGCTTTCAAGTTTTACTTCACGAGCACAAAGCCACCCAATCATTCGGTCTTTGCCGATATCCCGGCGACGACTTCAATGGTCTGTGTGAAGTCACTCATGGAAGAGCCAACATCAACCTGAAGCCTAGTGATGTACGTGGAATCCAGAATTTTCCCTGAGACAAAGACTAACTCGTTCGAGTGTAGTGGCCGAGGGACATTAGTGCTGTGGACACAGCTTGGTTTTTCTCGGAACCAATCTGGACCCGGGGATGTCGATGCACTTGCAACGCAAGCAGTCCTGACCACCCACATGGAGTTCATATCTACACCATGTCTGGATAGGGATAGCAGTAGGGCCATGAGACTTTGCTGCTTTTGTCTCTTGATGACAAGAGTGATGATAGCCTGTGGCAGTTTCTGTCACGATCCATTCCTTAAATGAACTTAGCTTTAGCTCTACACGCTCTCTACAAATAAGGGCCCAGCCCATTACAGGAACATTACGCTGCACTTTGCGATGTAGAAACAATATTCCATTATCCGAAGCCCAAAGATGTCTCCAAAACCTCAATCAAGTGTATATTTTGAATTCTTACAGGATACATACGTAGCTTAGTATGGCGATTATCCCTTGGATTGGGATGGCTAAGGTTGGTTCGGCCGAGCCGGCCCGCATAAAAAAGCGGTCACGAGACAGCCACGATTGTCCTCTGAAGCTCCGCCCGGGAAATTACTTAAGGGTCAGAACATTTCGGGCAGACCACCTTCGCTATTCAATCATGCAGCAACAGTCTTTCTACGAGAGCAACATTCCTATTGCCATTTCTCATCTTCGGAACGATGGGCAAATCCCTACCATCCTTCAGTACTTTGATGGCGGTCAATGTCGCGTATTCAAGGTAACGTTCGTGGACGGCGAGATTTGGGCAATAAAGAGTACCTCTTTTCGTCCGTCATGATTCCCAGAAAATTATTATACAGCTTCTTGAGTCCGAAGCTCAAATTCTCCGGGAACTCGAATTGAAGGGATTCTTATGGGCCGCAAGGCTTCGGGGCTGTAGTCTGACGTTCGACAATGCCATCAAATACCCCTTCATCGCATTGACATGGATTCCGGGCAGTCAGCTTTCATGGTCCGATAATTTTCCGACGCAACCTCATCGGAATAGAATCTTGGATCAAGTTGCGAAGATGCACACATCACTGATTGAATGTAGCAAGCAGGCTCGTACGTTGAATGCCTTTCGTTCAAACTGGGCCTTGCTTACAAGTCCAGGGGGTTCTAGTCTAAAACATTTCACCCGGATAATTCAAAACAAGACCCGTCGAGTTCGCGAGGGCCTTCTTCCAGAAATCACAGCGAAGGATTGCTCTGAACAGATGAAGATTCTTCCAGATATTCTTTTGTCTGAGCTTGACGAAGCACCCTTCGCCATTGCCCACGGCGATTTATCACCACAGAACATTCTCATAGATGCATATCACAATGTCACAGGGTAAGTGACGATTTCCATAGGCCGTTTTCAAGGTACTTACTATTTAAGCATAATCGATTGGGGATTTTCGGCGAGGGTACCTTTCCAGCAGGCAGCCTGCTTCCCCCGTTTTCTCCAACTCCAGAACATCGACATGTCGCCAAGCTCTACGCTCCTGAAAGACCGGGAGACATACATCACCTCGATTCGACGCCAAAATAACCTGGTAGCATCTTTAATGATGATTCAAGTGCTTTCATCGGAAAATGTTGACTTTCAACACTGCTTCCTGGAATCGATTATTAGCAAAGGAATGCATCGTCGATTGGCACGTAACGGATGGAGGCTTTCACCTTATGGACGGGCTGGAGACGGAGAAGATGACAGCCGCAAGAAGAATGGGACTCTTTTTTTCTCATTCTAGCCAAGATCGTATTTTCTTGGTTTGCATTGTTGGCATGATGATGGTAGCTTTATACATTCGGGAACGCCCTACATGAGTCATATTTTCAATTTCAAGGACACTTGTTTTCTGTCTTTACATAGCCCCATCATTTTGAACAACTAATGGGCAGGCGCTTCGCTCACATCGACAAAGTAAAAAGTGTGTCTCCATTCAAAAATTGGCATATGATCCTCTATTTCGGCCTGGCTCTGTATCGCTGCCCAAGGTGCCTTCAATGTACTATCACGTGATACTGCCCCACATTGGTTTCATTCGGAATTAAAACACGTCTCTTTTCCACCACCCCTCTTTAGTGATAATAATCATGACCTCCATCAGCAAAGTCAACGCAGATACATTGATAGCCTACTAAAACAACCACAGCTGTGGAAGCATCCGATGAGAAATTTCATTTGCTGGACTACGGCCTAAAGTCACATTAGCGCACTGCTTTTTCTCTATTGCGCCCGGCACATCCGGGCAGTGGACATTTTGGCTCATCACAATTCTGTTGTGCAAGTCCAAGGTTGTTGTTACCGAAAAACTGTGTCTAAATGGTCTGTATCCTATGCCGCATTCAGTATTCTCAAGGCTAATCTTTACTAGGCTTTCGAAGAAAAGCCGCTCGATTCCTCCATAAACCTCGATGCCGTTCTCGAGAATCGCGTGACAATGATCGTTGGGAAAGGCCAAATGGTGTACTGGCAAGGAAGCAATGTCACCGTTTACGAGATCGACGACGAAGGGCGGGAGCAGGCAAGAAAACTTGTTGGTATGCCAAATGGACAAGGTCTTGCTCCTGAGGGTGTCAAATTATACATTACGAAGGGGAAGGTGACAGAACAATCCTAAGGGGCTTTCTCTTCGATGAAGTACAATTCATGTATATAGCTTCTTTTGTATTTCCAGCCCTTGAACGAGACCAAGTGACAGGCTAATGAAAGCTCCTTTCTCTGTGATGATCATCGACACACAGTCGGTCGTCAATTTACCCTTTTCCATCTCCTGTATGCGGATACGGCTCTGTTGTATTGCCTGCTGTATTTCAGAGCCAAATACTTGGGCAATGGCCTCATCCCGCACACCTTTCAGAGTCACCTCGGAGTTGGGTATGGTAAGGCTTGCTCCTCCTGCGAAGCCAATATGTAAAGACTTTTCCGCCCATTTCACCGTTGCATTGAATAGAGCTGCCGCCAGAGGTTCTACACTTGCTTCACATATGTCCAGACTTAGTAAGCAGTCGACTGCTCCCCAAGGAGGGAACACGGTTGTCACTGATGCTTTCGAAGGCTTGAGTCCGTCTGCAAGAGGGGAAGTTGTTCTGATGGCCCCGCAAACAAGTCCTTTGAAAATAGCAGCAATACCGTCAAGTGATGCATGTTCGAAAACTTCTTGCGCGTCGGTAATATTCGAATCCTCTTGGTCGTCACCTTGGGGATACCTAAGGTCAGGTTTCGTAAAGCCTTGATAAGGATGACAGCTTGAAATGGGTACAGAAATGTCTCCAAAGGTAAGACTATTCCCACTAACTATTTTGCCCCGATCAGCAAGAAGCAAAGTAGAGGAGACAAAAGAAATGGTGTCTTACCGTAATTTGGGTTTTGCTCGTGAACGACGTCAGCTTGGACCACTTCTGACTCCAAGTTCATTTCATACGTAGAGGCACTCGCAAAGTCAACTGCTCCAAGATGACTTGATTGCTGGGATTTGATTTCTGCACATGTTGGAGAGATCTGGCGACTTTTGCTCTCGCTGGTGTGGCTGACTTGATCCAAGTTCGACTGTTTCTTCAAGAGACCCGCTTCCTTAATATCATTCGGAAGGCTTGGAAACGAATCATTGTTTATGAGTGTCCGATATCGTTCTTTGCCCAGCTTATTAATGAGCGCTTTGCGGTGGGTACTGTTCATGTCTCTGACATTATTTTGACCCAGAGCAGCAGCACATAAACGTACACCTTGCAGCCCACATTTTCGGCGTACTTGGTCAAGAAAATCTCGATATATGTGATTACCAATAGACTCTGATCGCTGATTTAGCAGGCCAAATGCGACAGAAACCTGCTTGGATTCTTTAGTCCGCAGGTGCCAGGTAGAGTTCAGTCGGCTGGCGAGACCCTCTACTCTCTCCCAGGCCTCTGTACTGGTGAGAGGTTTCCGAGCACGTGGCTGCCTGACAGTTCGGACCATGATATGGAAAGGATGATGGAGAGACCGATGAAGGGAAAGATGAAGGGAAAGATGAAGGGAAAGATGGAGGGAAGGATGGAGGGAAAGATGGAGGGAAAGATGGAGGGAGAGATGGAGGGAAAGATGGAGGGAAAGATGGAGGGAAAGATGGAGGGAGAGATGGAGGGAAAGATGGAGGGAAAGATGGAGAAAGAAAGAAAAGGGGCCAGTCGCACAGTTGGTTGTATCATATTCTGATTCGCTGACACTGAGGGGTAAAGCAGGACTGAATGCAGTCAATCTGTTTCTTGGCACCTGGTACGCCTCCACAACGGTATTTTCATTGACGATGAAGGCACGCAGCACCATCCGCGCAAATTGTACCTGTTCATGCAAGGCTTAACCTACGCTCTGCCTAAACAGGCGAGGCCCACGCTTCTTAATTCCAGCTAAGTATTACCTAGAGTATGCGGTCCAGGCCTTGTATCTTTGTTCCAAGAACGAGAAATCGATGGCTGCCGTAGGCGATGATCTATGAGATGCAGGGGTTGGCGACGAAGTTATAAAAGAGAGGAATCTTGCAGGTTCATCAAATTATTTTTCCCTATTCACATCGGTGTTTGACCTTCCTGATTCAACCGTTCTCCTCTATCGTACCAACAAATTTCAACGGCACATACTCAGAGTAGCCCAATGTTGCCTTCCGAGCATAACATGGCATCGGAGAAGTCTTCCTCGCTATTTCACCAAGACTTGACGCCGCCAGATAGCCCAACAAAGGGAACAGTTGTATCTCAAGCTATTGTGAGGGATCTGAAGCATCTCTTTGGCATATTTCTTGAAAAGGTGCTCGACCCTACCAACCAAGAGCCCCCAAACACTCCTGTTTGCCATGACCAGTCCCTTCCCGGGCTTGACAAGGTTCGGCAGGCGCTGGACTATGTCTCAGCTGAACTTTCCGTGGCAAGTAAGCCTGCTCAGTCTTCTTCCGCAGGAGACGAACTCGAGAATGTTCCTGATGAAGATGGGTTTGATCCCAAGCGTCCCATTTTTACAACGTCAGAGTACTTCCAATCATTTGAGAAGTGGTTGCCATCCCAATTCAAGACAGTCAAAGAAACGTATGTCACCAGAATTCATCTGGCCCAATCAAACGTCCCCCTTCCGTCTTCTCCCGTTCACCTTCAGAAGATATCTGACACGGTTATAGCTGGAACAAAGATACTTGCAAATACAAGATTGCGGAATCGACTGAAACAAGCGATGTCCTGGACGAGTATGCCAAATATGCATTCATAGTTCGCGAGCGTGTGGGTACGTGATGCCGTTACCTGGTTGATTTCCCAATGATGAAAGTCATAGTAATAGTATTCCCAGACCGAGTTTCCGAGGACGTGACGTCGTACATTGACATCCAGTCGAAAGGCCTGCGCGACATCCTGCGCGTGGTTCTGGACGGCATCAAGACCATCAGCCTGATGGAGGACAAGCCATCGGTAAATGAAGCAGAGTACTTTATCTGATAAGATCACTAACATGGCTTTAGATCGAGCAAAAGACCCTTTTCCATTTTCTCCCAGAGTTGGACAAGTATGCTGGAAATATGAACCACCCAGAATGTGAATTACCACGTCAGCATCTCTGCTTGCTCATCGACCACCTCAAGGAAGCATATTCAACCATCTCGCAGCGTCTCGAGTCAATGCTGCTGCACAACCACATTACTTATGACCTCCTCTGGGGGCTTTTTAAACCGGGCTCTCATGTTTTCACAAGATGCTTCGGTACAAAAGAGCCACGGTGTGTCATATTCGACGCTGGGGAAGAGATCACACAGAATGATGAGACGTGGTTCAACCTTGAATGCCGATTCCTCGATTATGATGGAGTCAAATTCGGCGAGGCTGGTATCTTTCTACGCCTTGCAAAATTCCGAGGGTCGAAGCCGATCGAGAGCCTAGAGGCCTTCCCTCTTCGCCACCATCCAAGTCACAACCAAGTCCGGAGAGAGCTAGTCGGAAGAGGCCAAAAGTTTCGGGATTTGGCCGGCTCGCACATGCGGCACTGTAAAGGCAACGCATTCTTTATGAACAAGGGGAAGCCCGTCAAAGCCAAGATCGACAGTCGAGTCGCAGTGGACGCCGCCTTTTTCCATGAAATGCAGCCAAATTACTCCCGACCGTCTCTCCGCGATCTAGGGGTGAAAGAAAAAGATGGCATTCAAGTCTTTGATATTGACGCAATGTTCATGGAAGACCGTGAGCGAGAGAAGGAGAGAATGCGAGGAGATGGCGTAGATGCGCGAGAGCTGAGCGAAGCCGATTTACTAGTCGCGTGCCCAACCGTTTGCTGTTTCAGTTTCAAGGAGAAAATGTTCTGTATGTGACAAGACTGCGAAGTCACTGTTTCGAGCTAATGCGATTCTAGTGGAGTGCGCAGTCAGTGCTCTTAGTGACATTGATTGGTCACCTGGATCATTTGATTGTCTTCAGATTCCATCGGATACCAAGACAATGCTCTTGTCGCTGGCGAAAACGCGTCTAGGTCTTATACCAACCGTACCTTTCGACGACGTGATCGATGGCAAAGGCCAAGGGCTTAACGTGCTACTAAAGTATGTCGGCAAATTCCAGAAACCCTGCAAATTCTTCAACTGACTTGTGTTAGCGGTCCGCCAGGCGTCGGGAAGACTTTTACTGTCGAGGCAACGTCGGAGTATTTCAAGCGCCCCCTCTACTCGGTATCAAAAACCCGTTCCGCGCAATGACTGAAGTAGCTGACCTTCTCAGATATCTGCGGGTGAGCTTGTTGTCGACCATGGGGACTTCCCACGCACTTGAATCACAACTTGAAATCATCTTCAAAATTGCAAAGCATTTCAATGCCATTCTTCTTTTGGACGAAGCGGATGCGTTCATGGCGAGTCGGACCGAGTTCCACGATAGTCACAATCGCTTGGTCACCGTATTTCTCCGAAAGCTTGAGTATTATCAGGGAGTGCTTTTCTTGACCTCAAACCGAGGCATACACTTCGATGAAGCAATTCTGAGCCGAACTCATTTGATAATCGAGTACCAGGATTTAACAAGAGACTTCCGCAGGGGTCTCTGGTCCACCTTCTTGGCCAAAGCTCGAACAATGAAAGGACCCGCTGTAGTTTATAAGGACGAGATTCAGCATTTGGAGTCCTTGGCTCTCAATGGACGAGAGGTAAGTTTCATCTTGTTGCGCAGATATGTAACTTGCTGACTCCCGGTCAACTAGATCAAAAATATCGCGGCGATCGCACAAGCTCTTGCTGAGGCAGATACCGCGCGGGTCACTTATAAGTACCTGGAGTTAGCAGCGGAATCGAACAAGAAGTTCTCGAAGGAATTTGGGAGGAAGGATCCTGTTGAAGGGATGTATGTCTAACGGCATAGACTGCAAGCCTCACCGCGTCATTCCGCTGTCCATTAGAGGCCTTGAATCTATATAGTGATTATTTCGGTTAGTACACGACAGTCTTGCGTTTTAGTATTAAAATAATAATTTGCAATGCTTTTATAATGATCTCGTCATGATAAATCACCCCATTTCTCAAGTTTGAGAGCCCACATAATAACTTGGAGACGTCAAAGCATATGGATAAAGAGTGCACTTCGTCTCGAAATATATAGTTGGCAATAGAATAAGATCGCTAAGTTAGCAGGTCGAAATAACATTTTCTGATCAAGAGACACGAAAACTTTTTGTATCTGCTGCCTCCACTCAACATAGTCGTTGATTTGTGGCCCCCGACTGCTTCTTAGCCGGTCGGTACCTCAAAGTAGAACGGTGAAAGTCGATGATCAAAGCACGCCCAAGGTCTTCACTCCAAAGGACTTTGCCTCGCCTGAGGTCTCCATGTATTATTCAGAGAGTTTTGACTCCCTTGTTCGATTTATGAATCTCGTGACGAATCCGTTGCGTCAGCTCTATCGTCAACGTACTTTCACCGCCCCTACCCATGACAAGCACATGTCGTATTTCTCCAGAGCCATGCGGAAAGTCAATTTTGGCCTGGTCAATGGCTCCCAAAACCACAGGCGCCGCAAATCCTTGAGCCTTACGTAAGACCTGTTATACCCGCGCTTCGCATGAAACTTCTTTCCACAGCCCCGAAGTGGTGCCCTTGCCGATGACTGTGTAACCATATTCCATGCAAATCAGCTTGAACGGGGCAACGTTGGAAGACAAAGCCACCAAGAAGAATGCAATGATCTATGTTCTCGTCCAATTGTCTTTGAGCGAAAGAACCAAGTCCTCGGTGGAGAGAGGATCCCGAACCGGGAGAACTTGACTCTTGCGATGATAGTCCACTTTTGGACACAGCTCATCCAGAGAATTGCCGGTCTTCTAGCCGAGTAAACATCGTTGTGTGCAGAACTATGCGGCACAGCGCCGTGAATGGTCTTCTTCGTCACGCCTTGATTCTTATTCGCGAGCTGATCGCCGAGCAGACGGTGAAGACGGGACTTGACTGATCCCCCGCTTATGGCTAGCCGCTTGATTTGTGTCTGACCCGGACGAGTGAGGCGACTGCGAGCACGGTCGAATTTGTGAAGGTTCACAGCTGGTTAGTGATCGAGTAGGCGCTTGGCGGCTTTTTGGAGGGGGGCGGGAGCTGGGATGACGACAGCAGTTCATAGGACGAATTGTTATCTGAACTTGGAAAATCGGCATTCGATATATCTGAGGGGGGATCAATAGTAATTCCTTCTCTGAATATGCGAACGTAGCACTAATCAATTATACATATGTACCTACATGCCCCTAGTACATGCCGTGTCTACTCAGAGCCCATTCATACTTGATTTTCGTATATGCCATCTCAGCTACCAAGATCGCGATGGATTCTTGTAGATTAGTTATTGCTAGCTGGCTGGCATGACAGCGTCTCTTCAAGTGTTCAAAATCCTACTTTCGGCAGTTACAGCGCATCTTCCCATTATGGCACAAGTATATAAGAGGGAGCTATCTGAAGGGATGGGTTCATCTGTGTTAGTCGACATGGCTAGGTGGCGTCATGCCAGCCCGTGGCGATTGCAAACCGTATTGAGGCTCGCACTGCTTTTAGATTGGGGGTTTTTACTCGATCACCTGATGGGGATTTTATGCCCAGAAAGAAAGATATATCGCTATGGTGGGTATCGGTACATTGCAGCGTTGTCGTCTGGTGTGCGGCCCTCTTCTGGTATCGTAAGTGAAAGTGCTCTACGGTCTGTTCTTTTTTGCAAAATTGGCTGTTTTGTCTATAAAAAGCCAATAAAATTTCTTTCAGCGTCACAAGAAACCGCCTTTATCTTTTCAGGCGACTCATGTCTGATCATTATGTTGATAGCAAACATTGCTTTTTTGACAGGGCTTTACTCAGGGAAAAAAAGGGCTCTTGATACTCGATTTACTTTTTTTCCCTTGTGTCTTTCTGAGGTGTTGAGATTGAAGTTTCATGATATTCTATTAATTTTATTAGCTCTAATATACACTGATAGCCATCCTACAAATTCTTTTTATTTTTTAATTTCAATTTATTCATATACATTTTGATTCCTCTGAGACGGATTAGGGTAGAATAAGTTTGAAGAAGAGTTCCAACCAAATCTTGAAAGCCACTTGAACGATGCATTCGAAATTGGCTACTTTGTTAGCTGCAATGATAGAGGCTTCCATTGTGGGAGCTCACCTAGTCATGGTCGACCCCATCCCTTACAATTCAAACCCTTCAAATAATTCTCCTCTTGACGCATCTGGAAGCAACTTCCCCTGCAAGATCACGGGTGAGTATTCTGTCATTGAGGAGAACCATATGGTAAAGGGTGAGAGCCAGTCCTTGATCTTCCACGGGGGTACTACTCACGGTGGTGGCTCTTGCCAAATCAGTATTACTTCGGACCGTGCCCCCAGCAAAGATACTACATGGAGCGTCATTAAGTCAATTGAGGGTGGGTGTATGGATGCGACTGAGAGTGACGTCAGCATGGGGAACAGTCCAACGATGGCCACTCCATTCTCACTCAACTTCACCATCCCTGACAGCTTCAAAACGGGACAGTATACAATTGCCTGGACCTGGTTCAACCGTATTGGTAATCGCGAGATGTACATGAACTGTGCCCCCATAACCATCACCGAGAGTAGCTCCTCCTCGAAGGGATCCGGATCCGCTGAAATCGAGGAAACCTCCCTAGAAGACCTCCCTCCCCTATTCATTGCCAACATCAATGGTTGCTTGACCAGGGAGCTGTACGATATTCGTTTTCCCAACCCAGGCAATACTATTGAGTATCTTGGACCTGAAGAAAGACTCATTGGACTTGACGACAACGTTTGCTTCACTGGTTCCGCTGCCTGGGGAAAGGAAGGCTATAGTGCTACTGGGGAGTCTGTCCTTTCGGCTAAAGTCTCCGATTCGGCCAAGTTTTCCGCCATAACTGCCGATGATAAACCTTCCACTACGGCTGGTAGTACTTTAGAGTCCTCAGCCAGCGGGTCAGTTTCCGCGAATGCGGCGAGCTACATCACCAAATGTGCGGGCTCTATTAAGAGCGCTCCGATAACCCTAACCTCCGCCATATCCGTGGTCAACTCTACGGTCGACAATTCCAGTAGCTCTATTTCCGCCTCCAGCTCCAGCTCCAGTACGTTCGCGGGGTCATGTCTTGAAGAAGGGATCTGGAACTGCATAAGAGGCACTTTTTGGCAGCGCTGTGCTGGAGGCATCTGGACATCTAAACAGCCAATGCCTGATGGCACGGAGTGTACTTCCGGCCTAAGCCATACCTTTATCATCAAGACTGCGTCTTCCAAGTCCCAAAAAAATAAGCATTTCAAGAATCATAGACACGGTGCCCGAAGGCACCCTTAGACACCCTATGGCTCAGATAATACAGATCTGGAGTGTGTTTACTATAGTTCCTTTCATTCGTTTACTCTAAAGATGTGTGGTATTTCAGAATTTGGTGTTTCTAAAATGATGCCGTTAACGGGATGTATAATTTTGTCTAGATAGCTAGGTTATGCAATTTGATAAATTTGCCTCATTGCTTACAGCCGTAATATATTCTATAATTTTCTTCTGCCATTCAAGGAACTCTTGGAATCAAGAAATGGATTGAGATTTTGACACTTTCTATGCTCTGTTTTACTCCCGCGAGGGTCTTAAGGCGATGAATGAATACTATATTAACACCTCGCCTACTCCGAGCTTACCGTATGCTGGGATAAATTAACTACCACTAACGAACGGTTAGTTAGACAGGAGTCCGCGTTTTTTGTTTCGCATGATAAATTGGTATAGCCCGTGTATTGAAAATCGAGCATATGCATATAGAAGGGTTGTTTCAATTTGTCCCTCAGTAGGCGAGGGGCTGTTCTGGTGGAACTCGGACAATTTTGTGATCCGCCTAAAGTTTCGTTTTCTGCAAAAGGGCGATTATCACTGTTGGAAAAGTACATGTCCAAGCTAATGCTGCGTCTATTTGGCACCATACAGGATTTCTTCCAGTAGTTGTCATCTTAGATGTCGATATCCTAGCAGGTCCTAGACCATATCTAACGGGGCTATGCTACGGATGTGGGCCACTAATGGGACCGATTGGTTGAAAATTACTTGGCAGGCATCATTCTATCTGTAGTATGCAAAATAGTACTAAAACACGATGCGCAATCTGCAGGCTCCTGAGAGCTACGTCCAAGATTGATCAATTACTTCACAGGGGATTGTGCACATGAGGATTATACAGGAAAATAACTGACTCTTCCCTTGTAGTAACAAGCACCCATCTTCCCAGCTTTACTTTGCTTGAGGTTCGTGAGAGTCTCGCACATCTGTTGATGATAAACTTGCTTTTCGGATGGGTAATTAATATCAAGGAAAGCTTCCCAAGTGACTCTAGATACAAGACGTAGCGTGAGGCAGGTAACAAAACTTCCTTTGTACAAAGATGACCTGCCCCGAATTCAATACTGGGCTTCACATTTAAGATTAAATTTCTAATTCAAAGACTGGTTCCTGTTGAGGCAAGGTCATCCTCACTGAAACTATAGCAGCCGTCGATACCAGCCCATGTTGCAGTTGCAAGAGCAATACTACAGTCATTGAGGTACGACTATATCGGAACGATTTTCATGATACTGCTCTAAATTTCCTTATTAGTCTTGCTGTTTCAGAGGCTGATCGCAGAGTCAGAAGCCCATTTGATCAATCCAGTGGGAAAGGAGCAAGAGGGCGGCCCTTTGCGATTTGACCACTGCTTTCTAGATGCTTTTGGTGCCGCTTTTCTTGCTCGTCCCAAAGCTCTCGTATCCTTAGCATCGATAAGCGGCGGCCGCCCCAGAATCGGGGAAATTCCCATCTTGGAATCCAAGAGTAACCACCAATTAGATTTTCCTGATCATCGAGCTTCAGATTCTCCCAATAAACTTTCAATCACATGCATGGGTTGGTCTCGTAATCTTTACATGGATTGCGCGCTTCTGCAACCACCCCAGCCACGTCCTTTACGTTCTCGGGCGTATACCGCCACATCAGATTACCAGAGCTGTCTATATCTTCCAGGGCAGAGATTCGCTTGGTGCGATCCGAGATGCTAGCCAGAGAGTCGTTTTTATAGTTCGGCCGGTACTCGAATCGATATTTGGCTGCGTCATGCGGTCCACATTGGATGATCACCAACGTCGATCGGCGTAAGCTTCCCCACCCATCTACTAGATCATTGTTAGTGGTGGCTCGGTTGGATGCCGACTCTGATGCGCTATGGCTGACTGGACATAGGCTGACTAGAGACCCATTGTCAGGAGTAGCATTATCGGTGCGACTTTCTAAATGGTTGCTACGTTGGCGAGATGAGCCCGCCGCACCAAGCTCTTTTCCCATCGAAGACGGATCGGCAGAATGGTTCTTCTCCGTGGCATCCCTTTCTAATTCGGAATCGCTCATCCCCACAGGCCTCTCGCGGCCTATATCATCTGAAAAAAACGGCGAAGTCTGAAGATCTCTGGTAGCTTCAGGGCTACATTGACGCCATGGGTCCCCACTGACTCCTTGGTCAGAATGGCTACTATGACAAGAGTGCATGGCTGGGGTACTCGCAGTCATTTCTTGGTCTCCTGACTGGAGCTGGCCGTCGACTGTGTTGAACTGTGCATTGAACCTTTGGGGATCGCTTAGGTAGTAATCACTCAGAACACTATGAAGCTCTCCAAGCATTTGATTTTCCGAAAACGAGAGCTTCCCTTTCTTCATCAATGCTCGGTACGTATCCATGCACGCTTCCGCAAATTCTTCAATTCCTACATCGTCAACCTCTTCGATGTCTTGCTGCTGCTGATCACTGACGTTACTTATCGATGGCTGGGCTTCGCCGCTA